ATACTATACTATGACTTTTTATGCCTTCCTATACTATGAACTTTTTTTGACTTTTTATTCCTTACTTACTATGACGTTTTTATGACTTTTTATGCCTTACTATACTATGACGTTTTTATGACTTTTTATGCCTTCCTATACTATGAACTTTTTTTGACTTTTTATTCCTTACTTACTATGACGTTTTTTGGACTTTTTATGCCTTACGATACTATGACGTTTTTTTGACTTTTTATGCCTTACTATACTATGACTTTTTTGCCTTACTGTACTATGACTTTNTTTTTCTGCCATACTATATTATATTACTTTTTTTGACTTTTTTATGTCTTACTATACTATGACTTTTTTTGCCTTACTGTACTATGACTTTTCATGCCTTGCTATACTATGACGTTTTTTGGACTTTTTATGCCTTACTATACTATGACCTTTTTTTGACTTTTTATGCCGTGCTATACTATGACTTTTTATGCCTTGCTATACTATGACGTTTCATTCCTTACTATATTATGAAATTTTTTTGACTTTTTATGCCTTACTATATTATGACCTTTTTTTGACTTTTTATGCCTTGCTATACTATGACCTTTTTTTGACTTTTTATGCCTTGCTATACTATGACATTTTATGCCTTGCTATACTATAACTTTTTTTGCCATACTATACTATGACGTTTTTTTTTACTTTTTATGCCTTACTATACTATGACGTTTTTTTGACTTTTTATTCCTTGCTATACTATGACGTTTTTTATGACTTTTTATGCCTTACTATACTATGACCTTTTTTGCCATACTATACTGACTTTTTTTGCCATACTATACTATGACGTTTTTTGACTTTTTATGCCATACTATACTATGACCTTTTTTTGACTTTTTATGCCTTGCTATACTTACGTTTTTATGACTTTTTCTGCCATACTTTACTATGACCTTTTTTTGACTTTTTATGCCTTGCTATACTTACGTTTTTATGACTTTTTCTGCCATACTTTACTATGACGTTTTTTTGACTTTTTATGCCTTACTATACTATGACCTTTTTTTTGACTTTTTATGCCTTGCTATACTATGACTTTTCATGCCTTGCTATACTATGATTTTATGACTTTTTATGCCTTACTATACTGACTTTTTTTGCCTTACTTTACTTTTTTCTGCCTTGCTATACTATGACTTTTTATGCCTTACTATACTATGACTTTTTTTTTGACTTTTTATGCCTTGCTATACTATGACCTTTTTTGACTTTTTATGCCTTGCTATACTATGATTTTATGACTTTTTATGCCTTACTATACAATGACCTTTTTTTTTTTTTTGACTTTTTATTTCTTACAATACTATGACGTTTTTTTTTACTTTTTGAGAAGAAGAGATAAGAGATAGAGGGAGTGGGGGAGGAGAGAGACCATGGAGAGCAATATCCACTGTTGATTGTTAATTGTACCAGTGAAAATAATAAGTTATACCCACAGGTAACAGTGTTATCGTATCTGCTGTTAATCATTTATTGTTGTAGTTGAAGTGGATTCATACTAATACCTATAGATATTAGTGTTATCAATAATACTAATACTCATAATAATAATAAATAGTGTTGTAATGGCAGATGTGGATCCTGCTGCTCCAAAAACAGAGATACCAGGAGAATGAGGACAGAGAGGAGAAGCACAAATTACAGGAAAGAAAAAATACAAAGTTAGTGACATGAATTATACGATATAAATGAAGAGAGAGAGAGAGAGAGAGAGAGAGATAGTGCACTCAGTGCATCATGGGAATCCTCCAGCAGTCTAGGTCTATAGCAGCATACCTAAGGAATGGACTCACTTGAGCCAGCCCTAACTATAAGCCTGATCTGAAATGTAGAGAGGGCATCTGCCTCCTGGATCCAGACTGGTAGCTGGTTCCACAGGAGTGGCGCCTGAGAGCTGAAGGCTCTGCCTCCCATTCAAGTCTTAGAAACTCTGGGAACCATAAGTAGACCTGCGTAGACCGCACCATACTATGACGTTTTAATGACTTCATCTGAAAATATAAAACACAAATGAACCACACACAGCTCTCAGCAGGTTTTATACCAAAATAATTTATTCCAGACAAACACAGATCAGAGTCGTCTCTGCTCTGATGACAAAATAATAAATTAAAAAGCCTCACAGTGTTTTCTGATGCTGCAGAGCCACCTGCTGTCGGACAAAAACCTCCCCTCAACCATCAGCTCAAATACTCCAGGGACAGTCACATTTCAGAAGCTAGAACCAAAGAACTTTAACATTTTTATACTGAAAAAAAACTAATTGATTAATTGTTTTAGGTTCAGTACATGTAGAATGTGAGTGCTGCACTAAGAGAGACCGATCTGCTGACACACACAAAGACACTAATATAAAATAACACTTGTATAAAACATCACTACTGTAACACCGACTTCTCAACAAGAGAAGGAAAGAAATCACATTTGAAATCTTCAGCACACAAACATAAATATACAAAGAGTTACATCACCAGGTCTCTCCCTTTGGTTTAATGTCTCAGGTTAAACCACTGTCTCGATGCCTCACTCGGTTTCACCCAGGTGTCTGTGATCTGAGGTAACTCATGCTAATGGAGCGCTGAAACTGACTGAATGTAGTAAATACTTATCAGCCAAAAAAAATCATAATAATCAATAACAATATAATTAGTTAACTAAAATAAAGTGTAAAAAGGAAAATTAAAGCTGCTCATCTCATCATAGGAAAACTGGAAATGTTGCATGTGGAAAAATAAATAAATGATTGTTTTACTGAGTTAAAGGAAACATATTTCTTTTACACTCCATTTTTAATAATATTATTTACTGATGTACTTTATTTTATCAATGTAAAGTTATGTTTGTTTTCTCTAATTACTTTTAATTACATTTTGTCAGTTCCAGTGCTCTGTACATGTGAAAGGAATAATTCAGTATTTTGGGAAATACAACTTTCCTTGAAACCACAAATGTTTCTGTCTGAGTGCAGATAAAATAATGAGATATAATATATTAATTAGTGATTTAGGTAGTTGTGTGTTTTCAGTCTTTAAGACTGACTCCAGCTCTGTATTTAACACACAGATTTACATCAGCCTCGAGAAAGAAAGATGAGTTTTACTTCCCAAGATGTTGAATTATTCCTTTAGGTCTAAATTACAACATGACAACAAATGCAGCTTTTATCTGTCAGATTAACCTTATTTATATTTATTAATATTTTAATGTGTTTCTACAGAGGCACATTGGATTCACTATAATAATTAATAATAATAATTGTGGTGATAATGAAGATCTCAGAATAAAGAAATGTGGATCTCACAGTTTCAGGAAAATCATCCCATAATTATAAGATCCTGAAAACCAGAGAAATGTTTTATTTCTTTAAATTTTGGCACTGAATTGTTTCCGTTAGAATTTCATAAATATCTTCCAAACAGAGGAGGAAGTAAAATCAATCAAAGCTAATTAAATCAGGTAGTTTCATTTCTTCCTGCTCAAACAGAGATAATTGATAATCATTTTCACATTTTGTGATATCCAAGACAAAATGACTTTTTTTCCCTTCAGTTGAACTCAGTGTGTTTCTGTATATTTGCATCATGATGAGATTTACATCTTTTACAGATTTCGGTTCTTAATTTACAGTAAATATGTGAAACTTTTAATGAACGTTTTTATTGTGTTTTGGGTTTAAGGCAACGTTTTGTTGGAAAGTGACTCATGTTTTACATTTAGTTCAGATCAGATAAAATTAACATGTATTAACATGAAGTTTGTTCTGAGCCACATTTATCAAACAGAAAGACTCAGAAACACAGCCTGAGTTTACCTGTGGACTCAGGTGTGCGCCTGTCTCTGATTGGACGGCTCCAGCTGTCAGAGGGTCCCTCTGTCCCTCATGGCGTCCTGTATCTGTCTGTTGAGCTCGGCGATGATCCGGTCTTCGTGGGTGTAGACACCGGTCCTCAGCAGAGTGTCTCTCTCCTCCAACAGTCGGCTCAGGTGTTCATCAGCGCTCTCATTAAGACCGGGGGCGGGGCCAGACGAGGAGGAGGCGGGACCAAGTCTGTCCTCCTGTTGCTTTAACCTGGGAACGAAAATATTGAAATGTTGACTGACATTTGTTTCTATCGTTTTTCTTCTGAAAAACAACCAGATGACATCATTTTAAAACAACATTTTCTTTTTTGTTTGTTTCTGAGAAACAATAAGTAAACGTAAGAAATCCTTGTGAAAAATCTTTGTTTATGTTTCTGTTAAAAGATAAATATTAGTATATATGTGTGTATATAATATGTCTTTTATTTTAGTCCCTCAAATATAAAACTGGTATCAGCTTAAAAATCCTGAATCAGTCAGATTCTACTTGTTTAATTAAACTGCTAAACTACTGTTTACTATCACATTTCTATTCGTTTCTATTCTCATCTGCACCGTCAGCTGTGAGACCTCTTGGCGTGTGTGTGTGTGTGTGTGTCTGTCTGTGTCTGTCTGTCTCTCTGTGTCTGTGTGTTTCCAAATCATGTCCAGATTTCCACAGGTAGACTCAGGTCAAGGTGTAGAAACATCCCAGAGATGACCAAGAAAAATGTCATAACTTAGTGTCTGAAAACTTCTGTCAATGTGAGATTTCAGCTTTTGATTTTTAACAAATTCAATAAACATCTGAAATTCTGTGTTTACTTTGTCATTATGGAGAACTGAGGGAAGATTGATGAGGGAAAAATGAATTTAAAATAAAGTGTCTGGGCACGATAAATCTGCACAGCTGCAAAAGCTTTGATTAAAAAATAAAAAGCCTCAAACTGATCAATTCTAGAGAAAGCTGCACATTTGTTTCTTATAGCAGATGAACTCTTTAAACAACACTAATGAACTAACATCATCATCATCCTCACCTGTTGAGTTCGTTCCTGATGTCGTCCAGCTCCTGTCTGTCTTGTCGTACCGCCTCCTTCTCCTCTGTTGCTAGGTAACGCAGCCTCATGGCCTCCAGCTCCGCCTGCTGCTTCTTCAGACGCGTCATGGCGTTTTCCTGCTCGCGCTGCACAAACACAAAAACATGACACTGTGAATAAATTTGAGTAACCAACTAATCTGAGAGTCAGAAAATACAGGACGAACGTTTCCCCCCAGAGCCAAAGGTGATGTCACATCGTATCACATCGTTTTTTTTATTTCAACTACGACATAAAACTGGAAAAGTGTCAAACCCTCAAACTGGAGAAGCTGGAACCATCAAATGTTTTATATTTAAAGTGGTTGATGTTTAAAGTTTTTACTGTAAGAGCTCAGCACTTTAATCTTTTGCCTCACGGTCATTTCAAAACATCACAGCTATTTCAAACATGTCTGACTTTCACGACAGAGACCTGGTCGCCCAATCAGATCTGAGAATATCTGAAAACAAACCTCTGACCCCGGAGCTGAAACCTTCAGATGCCAAGAAGCTGTATTTTGTTGTTTTTTTTTTTCTAATTACACAGAGCAGTTTGATGATAAATTTGTCTGGTTTCACATTTTCATAAAACCTCCCTGAGAATTCACACGGAGACCAAAAGCAGCAGCATGAGAACAGAAAGAAAACTTCATAAAAACGTCTAAAAGTCGTATTTCTCTCAGCTGCTCCGGCCTCCAGCTCACACCAGCCAGACGGCACAAAAATTACCCACAATACCAATGTGGGCTCCGTCTGCTGGCGCACAGCTGGAGGCTAATAAATCAGGGAAACAGTCTGAGCAGGGAAAACACAAACACTAATTTGGTGTGAAAGCTAATCGCTGCTTCCCTCACAACTTTGATTATAAATTATAATCCTTATAATCTAAAAGCTGCAGGTTCAAAACACGAGAACATGCAGGGAGAATCTGACGTGAGACACTGAGCGTACGATCACGACTTCAAGTTCCCTGCTACTGATGGTAAATAAAAGCAGCCTGGATATTGCAGAGGGTCAGTTCACAATAAAGTTACAGATATTCGACTTTACTAAAATGAAATTGACGGTTTCATTAATGGTTAATAAATGATTTACAGACACGGAGAGAACGGCACCGTGAATGTGACGTGGTGACAGTTAGAGCTCTTTCAATTGTGTCGTAAAAATGTATTTAAATAAAATGTTTTAGTAATAACATATCTGTGTTTCTATTCAGTAATAATACAGTTATAGATGTTGGTACTCCGGGCTTCAGGTTTGCAGTTACACATTAGTATGACATTAATAAAAGTTCTTGGGTTTCTCAATGTCTAATGATCCTGCAGTTATACATGTCAATAAATCATTAGTAAATAATCCATCATTAAATTCATGTTGTATTTTTCAGATCCCACTCTGACCCCATGACTTGTCGTATTTCATCGTATTTAAACGCCTTTTATCCACAGAGACCGAGGTCGTTCACTCTGACCTCACAGCTCTGGAGCCGTTACTGAATTAGTTTGTTTCCTCAGCGGGAATTTAAACACAATAACCGGGTGTTCCAAGGCTTAAAAATGGCTTAAGTGTTTGTTTAATTTAAGCATCTTTTATCAATCGACTAACTGCTGCAGCTTTATTCAGTCGCAGGCGCAGGAAAGGCGAAAACCAAGTTCGGATGTTTGCAGACGTTTGATCGAACCTATGAAGCAGTTGTTTTATATAAATATCCTGACTGTTACTGAACGAGCGCTGGACGGACCGAGCGTCTGACGTCAGCGTCTCTCAGCTGCTGACGGGACAGAGTGAAAACACGGAGGCTGCAGTGGGAAGAAGGTGAAGCTGGAATCTGTCTGTGCTGGTGACACAGAGCAGAGCGAGCAGCCGCTGATTCTGGATGGGAAAACCAACATGTTCACATTACTGCACACACACACACACACACACACACACACACACACACACACGGAAAGCTTCCATTTTCACACGGCTGATCTCCTCACCTCCTAACAGAAGAACACACATGAAAACACACACAATCTCTCGTGAACACATCATTCACACACTCTCTCTCTCTCTCTCACACACACACACACACACACACACACACACACACACACACACACACACACACACACACACACACACACACACACACACAGTGTTGACACAGGCCCGGCTCACACACACACACACACACACACACACACACACACACACACACACGGAAAGCTTCCATTTTCACACGGCTGATCTCCTCACCTCCTAACAGAAGAACACACATGAAAACACACACAATCTCTCATGAACACATCATTCACACACTCTCTCTCTCTCTCACACACACACACACACACACACACACACACACACACACACACACACACACACACACACACAGTGTTGACACAGGCCCGGCTCTCTGTGGACCATTAGCAGTCTGTATTTCAGGCCGTTTTCAGGCTAATTACTAGAAAAACAAACAGGCTAAACATTTTCTCTGGTGCCCGCTGCCAAGGACAATCTGAGGCCGAGTCCTGAAACAATTAGAGGACGAGGTGATACTGAGGCCTCGGTGGGGGGGTTGGGTGGGGTGGAGGAGGAAGGGGGGGGGCTACTAAAACTCTGAAGCCCTGTTATTTCACAGTCATGAATCTCCCAGCAGTCACTGCAGCAGAGACCCGGCTCTGTTCAGGTACTGTTGATCTTTCTTCTCTACGTGGATCCAGAGTTTCAGACACAGACCTTAAAAAACTAAAAAGGAGTCGAGTTCAGTCAGATCCAGTCTGACGTGGACCCCATTCAAAGTGTAGGGAACCATTAGGTCAGAACCGGCTCAGTCCTGGTGCTGACCCACGTCACAGCAGAGCGACTGAGGTCTTCACTGGGAAACCAAAAGCGTTTCCAGCTTCTACAACAACATTTAGACACTTTCTGCACATTTCATTTGTTGTTATGATGAACAAACTGAGCTGAACGAAATGCACAAAAAAGAAAAAGAAAAATCTTATTGTGATTATTTTGACATATATGATGATTATAAGTGACATGAGTCACGATTTTGGCGGGAATGATCACTTTTGTATTTCATTTTCACTGGAGAATCTGATTTACAGGCCGGAGCTTCATTTATCATCTGCTGTTGTGACACATTTGAAGTTTATCAAAACTCTGCAGCTCCTGTGATTTCAATAGTACTTTGATTAATTGTTCAGCTTCAACAACCTAAAGGTTCAATATGTAAGAATGTAAAAACAATTAGCATTTATTTATCCAAAGTGACGTCACAGACTTCGGTGTAAGAACTAAGAACTAGATCTGTTTAATAAGAGAAGGAGAACGTGACTTAAAAAGCCCGACGACTGATTTCTATGTAAAAGACTCGGGAGAATCCAGATGTGACGTTTAAACTCGAGGCTTTGACTTTAAGTGGCTGAAAACTTACGAGGAGATCGACACGACAATCACAGAGGTGATGAGCGATGATGTGGTTACCGAGCAACACTGTTAGTAAACAACAAACACGGCGACGACACGAACAGAGAAACAACGAATCCTTCATTTAAATATTTATCTGCAGTCGGACATGTTGCAGTAACAACCTCAGGTGTTACGCTGTGACCTGTGACCCGCAGCAGAACAACAGCACCATCTCACTGCGTCTGTAAAGTCGTCACATGACATGAGAGTCTGAGCTCAGGTCTGATCGACACCTGATCACGTTCTAATAGACTGATCGTCTAGATCACATGACGTCGCTGCACAAAGTTCTGCTTCAATTTTTCCAAACGGTGACAAAATAAATTAAAGTTGTTTTCAACATCTCGCAGCAGAAACATGATTTGAAACATGATTTCCGCGTCACGCAGCTCCAGAGGACGACGTCCTCCCCGGAGTCTGACGGAGGTGCGAGACGGTCGGGGTGGTTTCTGGGATGGATGACCAGCGAATGACTTCTCCTCCCCCGGGTTCCCCTCCGTCTTCCCTCCATTACTCGCCTCTCTCTCAGAGGTCGACAGCGCCGAGGCAGCGGGGGGAGGACGTCTCATACTAACACATTGATGCCGTTGCTCACATGCGGACGCACTTTCCTCGGCTCAGACTGAGTTTTCTGAGCAGCTCGCCACCTGTGGGAGTTCAGGGGGAGTTTTTTGGGGATGTGATGGAAACACGAAGGGAAATGAGGACGACTGGGACGCACATGAGAAATAAACGAGTCTCCGTCGTTACTGAAATCACAGACGAATAAAAAACATCTGAAACGTCTGTTCTCTGTAAAGAGCCGACAGACTGAGGCGGAGGAAGACGCTCACCTGATGGTTTTCAGAGGAAGTTTTACAGCCACAGAGTCACACAGGTCATTAACTGGAGCTGTGACTGTTTCTGTATAAAACTAAAAGTCGTAAATCAGACGTCGTTTGACGAAGCGAACAGATCAGAGCTGAAACGATTCGTTCTTCTAGACATTTTATTTATTCTGTCCATCTCTTCATGACTGAACTGGTTTTGGACTGAATCAGAAACAACTGAGTGACTTGAATTCGTCACTTTGGCTTCAGAAACATTGTGATTGGATCTTTAAACCTTTTAAAATAATTGATTAATTGATGATGAAATGTAGCCATTGAATACAGCAGAGCATGATGGGATATAAACCAAACAAGTAAAAAACATAGGAGACCTGCGACAATTACCCAACGGAAAATTAATAAGCAATTATTTTGATAACTGAAAAATCATTGAAGTAATTTTTTTAAACAAAAAAAAGTCAAATATCTGCTGGTTGAAGCTTCTCAGAGCAGATTTATTGATTATCTGTGTCACATATATGATAGTAAATTGAAAATCTTCAGGTTTTGGATCATTGATTGGGAAAAAAACAAGATATTTGAAGAATTCTGGGAAACTATGACGGTATTTCTATTTCCTAACATTTTAAAGACAAAATAACCAATCAATCAAAAAAGATAATCGGCAGAGTAATCAATAATGAAAAGGTTCATTTTTGTCATTTTAAGATATTTTTGATTGTATCTTTTTCTTTTCTCTGTGAATGTTCCAGTTCATCATTTAGTTCTTTAAACGATTGATTGATTGATTTCTTTCTTGCTGTAAATCATCGACAT